CAGAGAGAGGTGTGTCCTGCCGGGAGTACATCAGGGACCCTTGAAGGATGGATGGGTTTTCCAGGAGTTGGAGTAGGGGTGGGGATACAGATGGTGGAGCCCAAGCCCATGGGTGGGGAGATTGCAGTGTGGTGGGAGCAGGCATGAGAGGCCCTGCAGGAGAAAGCAGAGGCACACATGTGCACTCATGTGTGGTGGTAGTAGGCACAGGGATGATGGAATATTTCTAAACTGGAAAGAGAATCAGAGCTCTGTAACAGGAAGTGGCATTCGTCAGCCACTGTAGAGTGAATTGGAAGGGAGGCTGGGGTTAAGGGTGAACCCTGAGGAAGTGATGAGGGTCCGAAGCAGGCTTCCCAGCAGGGTGAGGGGAAGTGATGGAAGTGGGTCAAGGCTGGACCAGCAGGGCTTGGTAACTGAGTAGATGTGATAGTGGATGTTTCAACCTGGGTGCCTAGCAGATGGCAGGATCCTTCCTGAAGCCAGAAGAAGACCGAGGCAGGGCAGTTTTGTAAAGGAAGTGAACACATAAAATTGGAACATTGGGGAGAGGTTGGAGTTGGACGTGAAGATTCAGGAATCATTCATTAGGAGAGCTGTCTTAGCTGGGATAAGTGGATGAGATCATTGAGATAGACTGTAAAAATGAGAAAAAGATGTCCAAAGGTAAAACACTGAAGAAAATCTACATTGGCGATCAAGACAGTGAAAAAACAGAGAATGAGCTCAGTAGACCATTACAGACACCGATGAAGCGGAGCACTGCCGAGAGGTATATGGAGGCTCTCTTGTAATTGAGAGATGTTGGCAAACAAGAAGGAACAATAACCCAGGCTGGCTTTAATTGTGTCATTGGCCAAATTATTGTTTTAACTGGCATTTCACAATGCATCTTTTTGATGCTTCTCTTTGACTTCTCTTAATTCAGTTCCACTACATACTTTTCTCAAGAGAGAGAGTTAAAAACCAAGCACATTCTTGTATGTAAGGAGTGCAATAGGAGTTCAAAATTGATGATGGTTGTGAAAAGGCCAGTCATCTGAGATCACTCGTTTATCCCAAGTGTTAAGCGGTAGCCTTATATGCACCAAGGACTGTGCCATGCCCTGGGGACACAGTGGCAGAGAACCACAGACACAAATCCAGGCCCCTGTTGAATTTACCTTCTTGTGTGAATGAAGCAACTAAAGAGGAAAATAAACAGACTAAAGAAGGAAAATAGACAATATGTTCAGTGGTGACATGTCCTAGGGAGAAAATAAAGCAGAAGAGGAAGGGGGTTCAGAAGAACAAGTATTTTCAGTAGAGAGGTCAGGGAAGGAGTGATTGAGGAAGTAACATTTGGATGAAACCCTGAAGAAAGGGGACATACATACCTAGGTGAACAGAGGACAGCACATGCAAAGGCCCTGAGGTGGGTGCATGCCCAGTGTGTCTGAGGTCTGGCAAGGAGACCAGTGTTCCTGAAAGACAGCAGGCATGTGAGAAAGGTTAGTAAACTTATAGGAACCATACTGGGGCCCTGTGGTCACAGGCTGACCCTGACTTTTCCTCTGAGTGTAAGGGAAAGCCCTGGGATGGTTTTGAGCAAAGAAATAAATAAGAGTCATTCTGGCGACAGGGGAAGGAAGGGGAAAAGGACAGACAGGAAGATCAGTGAGGAGGCTTCTGCACATCCCGGGAAGAGGTGTGGGTGGCATGGACTAGAGTGGTCCCAGAGGAACTGTCGGAAGTGATCCAAATATGTATGCTTTCTGAGGGTAAAGTAAAGAGAAGTTAACAGATTGAGACAGAAAGAGGTAGAGAGTCAGGGATGAGTCCACGTTGCCGTATCGGTCTGCGAGGGCTGCGTAACAAAACACCACAGACGGGTAGCCAAAATAAGAGAAATGTGTCCTCTTGTGGTTCTGTAGGCGTGGCCATGCTTAACCTGTAGGCTGAGTTGGTTCCTTCTGAAGGCTGTGGGGGAGAATCTGTTTCACTCCTCTCTCTGAGCGTCTGGTGGTTTCACGGCCTTCCCTTGGCTTGTAAGAGCATCACTCCCTTCATCTCCACAGCATCCTGCCTGTGTGTGTCTGTGTCCCAGCGTCCTCTTTCTAGTAAGAACATCAGTCAGACTGGATTAGGGGCCCACCCTTCTCCAGAAGGACCTCATCTCAACTAACTATATCTGCTATGGCCGTATTCCCAAACAAGATTCCACTAAATCTTAGTAAGATTTAGTTTTAGGTGAAAAACTAAAAATAAGGTTACCATACAATCTAGCAATCCCACTCCTGGGCATATATCCAGACAAAACTATCATTCAAAAGATATTTTGTACCCTCATCTTCATAGCAGCACTATTTATGAAAGACAAGACATGAAAACAGCAACCTGAATGCCAATGAGAGATGAATGGATAAAGAAGATGTTGTACATATATGAAATGGAATACTACTCAGCCATAAAAAAGAACAAATTAATGCTATTTGTGGTAACATGGATGCAAGTAGGGATTATCATCCTAAATGAAGTAAGTCTGAAAGAGAAAGACAAATACCACATGATATCACTTATATTCAAAACAGAAACCAACTCATAAGCATAGAGAATAGACTTGTGGTTTCGAGGGGGCTAGGTGAAGGATGAATTGTTAATTTGGGGTTAGCAGATGTCAATATCACATGTACAATGGAAACACAACAAGGTCCTTCTGTATAGCCCAGGGAAATGTATTCAATATCCTGAGATAAACCATACTGGAAAAGAATATATATACGTGTGTAACTAAGTCTCTTTGCTGTTCAACAAAAATTAACACAACATTGTAAATCAACTATACTTCAATTTTTAAAAGAAGATTGCCCTCTGATGCCCTAGGGGCCAGGACTTCAACTTACACATTTGGGGTGGGCAGGGTAAACAATTCAGTCCGTAGCAGTTGCCAAGAAAATGTGTTTGGAGAGAAGAAGAGGAAGGTGCCAAAGACTAAAGTTAAAGGGCTTTTAAGTTTGAGGACCAAGACCAAAGTTCACCAAAATGTTCAATACAAATCCCGTGTATACTTGCAGTTGTGGAAAAGCACTTACATGTTAGTAATGACTTTAAAGCTGTATTCTAATTGTTTGTGGCCTCCTGGTACTTCCCTGTGCAGCATAGGAAAATCAAACAGAGTATGAATTGAGTTTTACTGGCTGATATGCCAAAGAAGTTATTGGTGCTGAAATGGAATGTTTTGAATGCCATAAAGAAGTCAAAGGACACTAATAAAAATAATAAAGAGCACTTTTCTCAGAAGGAGAAATAACTTTGGAGAACATCATTCCAGCCCTTGATTTAAGAAGTCATTTTCTAAAAAGTCAGGCATGCTACAGTGCTTGAGCAGTGGCAGTTTGCTCCTTCATCTGTTTTTGATGAGAATGTAGTTAAAACATATAAAATCATTTTAAAGAAATCATCAAGGCAATATTATCACATTTTAGCTAATTCAAAAAATAGAAAAATCATCACGGTAACTTAACCATTCTATCCTTTTGATATGTTTTCTTTGAGTTTTTTTTTCACGTTCCTGCTGTTTAACATAGAGACAAAAGCTAGGATAGCAAGGTGATGATAGTGACATAGAACAAGTCTACCCAACACTGCTCGGCACGTCGGCTCAAATTTCTCTTGCCTTCCCGCTCATATTGCACATTCTGCCTCCTCTGCCCCATCTTTGTCTGGCTAAGGTCTAATCATCCTTCAAAACTCAGAAGGCTTTGGGGAAGCCTTCTCACTGGTGTATTCCCACCTGACTGGTAATGGAAAGCTGTGCTGCCATATTACCCCACACCTAAGCACATACCATAATACCTCACGTCTCCACCAGCTCTGATGACAGGAGCTGGGCAGTTCATTATTTCCTCAGGACCTTTCGCAGGACCTGTGGGTAGGTATTCAATAAATGCATGTGGACTAGGAAAGAAAAAAGTTATTTGCCTGGTCCACATCTGCCACTGAACCATGAGACCTTCTTAGAATTTAAAACTGTTTTGTTCAGATTGTGCCATAAACCAGTATAGAAATATGTAATATATCTTGAGAAGAGTCTCCTTAAAAAGTATTCCATGCATATTGTTGCTTCAGGGGTTAAATTTATGCCTCAAAACTGAACCCTTCATTTTCTAACCATGAAAGTCACCTTAGATAGTTACATATGTGGCTTACTTTTAGTGTTGACTATGTCCCTTCCCAGGTGGCACTAGTGGTAAAGAACCCGCTTGCCAGTGCAGGAGACATAAGAGATGTGGGTTCGATCCCTGAGTCAGGAAGATCTTCTGGAGGAGTACATGGCTACCACTCCAGTTTTCTTGCCTGGAGAATCCCATGAATGGAGGAATCTGGGGGGCTACAGTCCATAGGGTCATAAAGAATCCGGCACAACCAAAGCGACTTAGCACCCACACATGTCTCTTTAAATGAGTAAACACAATGAACTGAATTGAACATGCCTAGGTAAGTTAACATGGAAAAAATGCAGGAGCTTGGAGGGTGAAATTGCTGGCATTAGAGACAAGAATTAATTTTAATTTGTGCATTGTTTTGGAGAGGGGGGAGTTTTTCACCTGGCATAATTGAGATACAATCTGAGTCCAAGTGAAGAGGGTTGAGAAGTATTGCAATAGCCCTTTGATGCCAAAAATACTTTCATGATGACTTGGCTCAAGATTTCTGTCCTCCCTGTTCACCTAGAATGCAAATAACATTTTTTGGTATGCAGTCTCAAAATTAGGAAAAGGAAGAAAAAGTTTACATGAGATTGTTTATGGTTTCCTAGTACTGACAAGAGGCTTTGCTATAGGGGATTCTTGCTACATTACTCCTCTCTTGAAGGTTTTACCTTCATTTCTGACGTGATATGGGACCTTATTGAATTTATTGATGGAGCCAAGTTGAATGACAGATATTGAGCTAAGCTGTACAACATGTCAAATGTGCCATTGCAGTGTAGTTACTTAAATCTTGATTTCTTTCCCCAGCTCTACTTTACGAAGTGTTTCTACTGGATCCTCAAGACCTTCCAAAATATGTTTGGTGTGTGGGGATGAGGCTTCAGGATGTCATTATGGGGTAGTAACCTGTGGCAGCTGCAAAGTGTTCTTCAAAAGAGCAGTGGAAGGTAAATGTTCATGTGGGTGTTCCTTTTACACATTTTCCCTTAGTGTATGGTTTACTCACACAGTTAACTCTATAGCATTATTGAGAAATAATCCAAAAATGTTTTGAGATGTAATCTGTCAGTGAAAAATAATAATGCCTTGCTTAAAAATCACTTGGGGATTTTTCACTGAACAATATTTAATGGCCAAATTTTGAAATTGTGGGTTGGGAACAGCCAGTCAAAAACACTGGTTTTTTGGTTGTTGATTTATACCAGTTTGTTTTTCACTGAGACTTAGAAAAATAATTATATGTCACCATAATTTAATTTGCATGATCTAAAAGGGCGTTTTTTAAACAGTATGTCTGCCTTGTCTGTGTTTCTATATAAATATGTGTGTTTGTGGCAAGTTAAAACATATTAGGATCATGTGTGTAATTCAAGTTGTATTCCTAACAGAATTATGTCATTTAATAGCTGCTTGAGATTCCAGGTCTCCATTTGAATCCTACTTTTGTTCTTACTGAAAGTTTTCAGTCCACTATATTAAATGAAAAATTGTACTGAGATTAAAGTATACATAAGATAGCTTTTGTTCTGTCCAAGTAATCGTACTTCCTAAAAGGAAATGGTCTTTTGGTTTGTTTCTGCCTTACTCCAGCCTCACTTCCAAGCAATTAATTAACAAGCAATTAATGGTTTCATTAATGTTGATAACTAAAACTGGTCAAAGTATAGAATTTTTTTTGCTGTCAGGAGAAGTATTGTGTTATTGACACTTATTCTCACTAAAGAGTTCAGCATTAAGATATCTGCAGGTGGATTTCTCAGCACATTTTTCTGGGAGATGAATTGGTGCTTTAGAGAAGTTTAAGCATAAATTATTTGAATGTTTCATCTTTATTTTGCTGATGACCACAGGAAATATCCTTAGTTCTCAGATGAAAAAAGCTGACCAAGCAGTTATTTCTGTGCTTCCAAGATTGATTCTGCATTATTTAATTGATAGCACATGATTCATGTTATTTACACAATTAATTATTTAATATTCCCCAAACCCAGCATGGAATTGATAATAGGAGTTCTGTATCTATTTCTCAGGAGTGCGCTGTTTCGTTAACAGTTGACAGAAAATTCAACAGAAACTGGTTTAAAAACAAATAGAAATTCATTGGCCCGCGTAAGTGGAAAGTACTCATGGGCGTGGCTTTGGGCAAGCCATGGTCTTAAACCGGGTCATTCACACGCAATCTCATTCTCTGCATTGCTTGACTTTGCTTTGGCTCTGTTTTCATGTATTTTCTCTCATGGTAATGAGACAGCCACCAGACCTCCATTAAAAAGAGGTTTGCAGTTCCCAGGAGTTGTTATAAAAACCCCCAATAGAATCTCCATAGTCTGACTTGACTCACATGGCCCCCTCCAAACCAGTCACCATGGCAGGGGAGGGCAGCGACCGATAGGCTGGTTCTGGCTGGGGCTCCTGAGCCACTTAGACCAACCGTGGGGATGATTTCTAGAAAACAGGGGAAAGAAGTATGTATAAAACTGAAATCGGTATAATTTTTTAAGACTGCCTTCCCGCCATCTTCTTCTTTCTTAACTCTGTGATTGACTCAGTGGTAGAAAAATAAGTAAGGTTTGACTCTGACATCTTTCTAATGCCACTATATACTTTCCAATATAAGGATTCCCCCCCTGGGCTCACTAATGGGTGAACAAAGGTGATAAGTAAAAATAAAGCAGTAAGAGAAGGATGTTTAGAGAGCGTGCCCTGTATTACTCCACCTATAGGTCAGCTTTCATATCACAGCCCACGTTTTGGGTTTTTACAAAACCTGCCCTTCTCTGCGAAAAGGTTTTCTAGTGTTTCTGCTTAGTTATTGTTGTTTTAAGTAGTTTCTGTAGAAGTAGATAAGGAAAGAATTCTTTTATAACTGAGGGACATATAAATATGGAAAAGGCTAAACATGGATATGCTTTTGTGTCATTGGAATGCCAATCAGTAATAATGGATAATGAACTTTGATGAGTGCCTTTTAAAACTTTTATTAATATAGCTTATTTACTGTTTATTTTGGAATTAGAAATTTATCACTCACTTGTGTGAAACAAGGCTATACATTTTAAATATAAACTTCATGAGAGTTGTGACTTGATTTTGTTTTGTGATTTGTATTTGCTTACTTTCTTATCGTGTGAAAGAAACCTGCCCTCTTACTCTCTTATGTGAAAGAAATAGGACCATCTTTGAATCAGAATTTTTTGGTTTAATAAGAAATTATTTTTAAAATATTTTATCTAATTCAGGGCATTAATTTCACAAAGCTGTGGTGTATGAGTGTTATTTTTATTCATCTTTTTACAGATGAAGACATTTGGGATCAGACCCAGTCAGCTAACCTGTTCAGAATCATAGGATCAAACTTTAACCCTTGTTAGAGTCTTATGACTCCAAAGCTCGATCCAGCCAGAGGCCTCCTAACTGTAAATCTCGTGATCTGCTGTTTGCATTTTGCATAATTACCAAGTTTGTGAAAACCCCACTCTGTGCATCATGCTTTATGCTTGCTCGGTGACAGTGATGGCAGTGAGCTGAACATTGACAGGCAGGGTGGCACGCTTTCTGTTGCACACACACACAAGTATTATATGTCCTTTTATAGTTGAACAGCTACTAAGGTGGTTTTCTGGTTCTAACCTTAAGCTCCTCCTTAGAATATAAAAACAGGGTTCTAAGCACTCGAGGGCAGAGGGAGCTGAGAGAAGGGGGGCCTGTTAAAAGTCGAAAGGAACTGACAGTATCAGGGCCACTTGAGAGAGAACGGGGGAAACACAACAGTGTGAGTTTTGAGCTTGTTGGCTTCATTAAGACTTTGTGCCCTAGAACACGCCTCTCAGAAGCTCGATCTGATAGTGTAGTGGTGACTGCATGGGGAAACTGCACATCATTTAAGTGTAAATTATGTTCTTTGTGTTCTGTCTAGTGGGATGTATAGATGTGCTTTTCTTTTATTCATAAATATTGAATATAAAAACACTTAGAAGCCTCAACTGGAATACTTTTTTTTTTGGCCAGTAATGTCACTTCAGAGCCATATTACTTTACCTTTCAATGGAAATGTATCCTTTTATTTTTTAATTTGAATTGCTTATTTGCCTTGAATGTTTGTTAGGACCTTTCCTCTCTGACAAAAGAAAAAGAATAAGCGTGTGCATGCGCGCGCACACACATACACACACACACTCACTCTCATGATTACCCACCCCCACACATATATTTTAAACAGGGTTCTCCCTAGTGGTAGAAAGTAGACTGGTTTTAGGGTCAAAAGACTTGGTTTAATTTGCAGATTTGCCACTCAATAGATGTGAGATTATTGCAAATTATTTAGCTTACCTGGGCCTCAGTTTCTTTATATACACAAGGAAAAGGTAGTATTGCCCTACTTATTGCTTTGAAAAATTACATGAAAACAAGATCTTTTTACAGATTTTATAAATCATAAAGTAGCATCAAACTATTAGATCTTCACTCTTCTTTAAAAGCAAAATGCTGAAGTTCTTTGGCCATGTCTGTACACAGGGACCATGTAAATGACTCAGTAACGTTGCACGGTTAGGTCTGCATTTTTTCTTCATTGCAGCTTCATTTTTCCCATAGTACTTTATTTTGCCCATAGAACTGGGCTTTGCAATTGTAAGATCTTTCTAGACTAGCAGTTCTCAAAGAATGTAGGGGCCAAGGGTCAAGCGTGGGGGAATGGAGGGTCTTTCAAATTTTCCTCGAGGGACTTTTCCACATTTTCCAACATGAACTGAACTACCAACATTCACTCCCATAACGAACCTTCAGAGCTTAGTGGGTCAGTGCCACCTGTGAGGGCTTTGCAGTAGAGAAAATATTGAGAGATACCAACTGAACTTTGAGCGTCCCTGTTGGATGTCTTTAGGACAGGAAAGGACCTTATCTCTGGAACCTAGCAACACTGCAGATATTTATTAGCTGCTAAAAGAATGTTTGAATGTACACATGAATGTGCCTATATGACATAAGAGCATTCCAGGTTAAATGATTCCTCTCCTCCCTGCCAATCAGTAAATTAGTAGTAAAACTGGCCCAAGAATTTACACGGGCCTTTTGACATCTCATCTGCAAGTTCTAATTCTCCTCTGAGTTTTTATATCTTTGTCTCTTTCCAACTGTAAATTGCCATTGGTTTCATCACGTGTGTATTTTACTTTGTGATCCCTCAATGAATAGAGCTGACTACATTCAGCAGGCTATTTTATAACCTAATTTTGTTTCTGGATGCTCAGTCTACAGGTAGTGTCTGGAAGACACAGCCACCACAAATCACTGAGGAGTTACAGTGTGGTAAGAGAAGAAGAGAGCTCATTATTATGTAAAGTCAGCTGGGTTTATATTTTTGTAAGCAGACCTGTTAGGCTAGAGAGTCCATATCTTGGTATGGCCAGTCAAATCATACGATGCCTGTTTCAACACTCAGACCTTTCCCTTTAAGCTAAGAGACTTATAAATCTATTTCCTGAAATGACACGGCTTTAAAAGACCTAATTGCAGATTAATCTGCGGAGTCCTCAGCTTTGCAGTATTTAAGGTACACAAATCTGGACATATCTCCTCATCCCCTTCCTGTGTACTTCACAGCATATAGATGAGAAATCTTTCATATCACCGACAGTATCCTTTGGGGTGAAAATGTTTTTAAGGACCTGTAATGGTTGACTGATAGTTAATTTTCTTCACTTTTCTAAACTTGAAGGGGTAAACTGAACAGGTCCAGAGGAAAGGGGTCTCACTGTATCATGGGCCCAAGTTATGCCCATCAGGCTGTGTGCTCTTGAGCAAAAGGACCAGTAAGTGAGAGTGTGAGCAATGGGAGGTCTTGGGGGCTGGACAATTGATTGACAGTGAGATTATCCCGCAAAATAGAGCACTTAAATTGAGTTCCACACAGGATTAGTATGGTATTACATAGTAATTAAATACAGCT